TCTCTCCTCCTCCCCCACTTCCCCTTCCTCTTTCTCCTTCTCCATGTTTAGGGGCTAAGTGGTTTTGCATGCATTATCTCACTTAATCTTCGTAACAAATCTGAGGAGAATTCTTATCCCTGGAGTAGAAAAAATGAAATTCAAAAAGGTTAAGTGGCCCAGGGCTCCATAGCTAGTCATCAGTAGAAGGAGAATTTAAAAAGCAAATACTTGGCCGGTATGCTACTTTATGCTGAGGGGTGTCCCAGACATGGAGCAGGGAAGGAGAGACGTGTGGCCCCTGCCCCAGTGAGCACAGGGCTAGTTAGGGGGCCCACACCGGCCAGACCCTCACAGTGCAGAGAGGGATGAGAGTGCGAGGGAAACTTTTCTGAGGAGGTGACAAGGGCCGGTTTGGAGAGATGAGCAAAGGTGCACCTTAAGAGAAGGAGGAGCAGCACATTTCAGGCAGAGAGAAGAGCAGGTCCTGAAACAATCACGGGGCAGGCCGACACGCTCAGAGAATGTGCCATCACTGTGAGTCTGAAGCTCAGACTGAACATGGCGGAGAACAACAGAAGGGGACACCACATGGGGGTACAATGGACAGGCAGGCCAGAACTTTGGGACCTCAGGGACCAGCAGAGGACTTCAAGCAGGACATGCCACCACCACTTGGGGTTTCTAGGACGATCGTGATGACAGTGATATGGAGGGTGAACAAGGGCCCAGTACCGAAGAGAGAAAAGTAGGAGGTTGGAGTAGTAATCCGGATAAGATTATAAACACCTGCAAGGCAGTGGAACTGGGGCTCAAAAGAAGGACATAGATTTCAGAGACCATCTGAGATGAAATCATCAGGATGAGGTATGAGGAGACAGCACAGAGGTTATTAAGGTGGACTCTGAGATTTCCAACCTGGGGCACAAAATTCAGGACTCTTCAATGCCATGCCATAGAATGTAGCCTGTTGTTTTTGTTTTTGTTTTTTTTCCTTCAGAAATGATGTTTGTTAGCAATCATATTAAAAGAGCAAAGACAGTTAACTTTTTCTGTCATGAGAACCATACTCAAGAAGCATTCTAGAAGGAAAAAGAAACCTAGGACATTTTGAGATACACCCTCCTGGCTTCCTTTGAAGTAGGACCTCCTCCCATCCAAGGTCTTCCTTCCTGAGACAATCGGCTACCTCTGCCTTGACCCTGAGCTGCTGAAAGGGAAGCAGCTTGCACAGGGCATGGGGGCAGCTACAGGAGAGAGAGCCAGAGGAAAGGCCAAGGACGGGTAGCAGTGGGGGAGGGACAAGGGACATAGCCAAGCACAGTACTCCCCGGTCAGGCTGCAACGCTCCCTGCTCCCCGGGAAAGGTGAGGTGAGGCGAGCTCTCTCACACCAAAACGTGGAAGTGAATACAATAAATGTTCAGCCTGGACTTTCAGTTGAGACCATCTGCATTTGTACTTCAAAGGTTACTCATCAGCAAGGAACTCCCTGAGCTGCTCTTGAACACATTCCCTAGAGTCGAAAGCCACACAATGTTCCGTGGAGCAGGCAACACTCAGGGATGTTAAAGCAGCTTTGCCCTTGGCCTGACTGGACTTGGAAACCAGTCCCACCTCTGCCACATACCAGTGGTGTGATCTTCGGCAATGCATGAATCTTCTCAGCTCTTCCTCGGTCAGGGGGGTGCGGGGGGTAACGGCAAACTCTACTTCACAGGTGCAGGCAAGAATGAAATAACCTGATGTCCAGAAAGCACTTGGCACAATTGCTGCCACTTGCTGTTTGCTAAACATTCAGCCTTATTATTCATTTTCATGAATAGAACTCATGACTGTGAACAGAATTCATTATTATGCATTAGAACTTTCTGAAATGTTATGCTTTTATAATGATTTTGTGCTTTAATTTCTAGCCAGCCACATGAAGGTTCAAAGAGAATAGTCTCTTTACCATGGTATAGGTAAATCTTAATTGACATGCTATTATAAATATATTGTGTAAATCCAATTTCACAAATAAATCATACTGCAAATATACGGAAGGGATATAATTACTCAAGCAGAGGGGGTTTGTGTAATGATGAAGAACATTGGCTGTGGAGTCACACCCAAGATCAAATCCCGGCACCTCCATTTACTAGACCCAAGTTCTTAATCTGTGTATGTTTGTTCATTCAGTGAATATTTCATGAAGGCTACTCTATGCCTGGCACTGTTCCAGTAAAATAGCCTCTCCTTGCAGGATTGGGGAAGATGCTGTGGAGCAGCTAGCCCAGGGCCCAGCACGTGGGCAGGACCAGGACATGATAGCTGCTGGTGGTGACCGATGACTCCCTGTGCTAGAGCCGGGGGCAGACTTAGGAGACATGGTCTCTGCTCCTGTGGGTGTATGGTCCTGGAAAGAAGACAGGTGCACAGACAGACAATGGCAGCACAGGGTCTTGGGGGTTCTCTGTTCCAGAGGGACACGGAGTGCTGAGAAGCGCAGGAAGGCTACCAAAGCCAGCGAAGGGCAGGAGGAGCATCAGCGAGTCTGTTCTGGAGGCCGTGGCCGCTGAATAAGGCAGGCAGAGCACACCGGGCGACGCATTTGGGGTCCCCGTTCCTTCCATCCACTACCTTTGTTGCTTGCGAGAAGTGAGTTTCAGGAAATCCATCGCTTTCTATCAGGATGTGGATGGGATTGCTGCAGCTCGGGTGGAAATGCCCTTCCCAATAATGAGATGCTTGAAAACTCCAGTTAAGTGGCTTTAAACTGCCTCGGCTCTCCTTGCTACACAGAATGCAGAAACATGATTAGCAACTGGGGCCATGAAAAATTAGGGCCCCCTCTCTCCTGGGGTTGGAGAGTTGCACCCAGCAGTCATTGCCAGCATCTGAGACTCGGAGCCTGAGAGTCTGGGAGGAGAGTAGAAGGGTCTGGAAGGGGTATTCGTGGCGGCTTGTGGGCGGGGAGGCAGCAGCAGGGGTGGGACTGAGAGGATTTCTCCAGGTACCCAAACTCGACCCTCGCTTTCAAGAGCCCCCATGAGCGTTTTGCCAATCTCACCGCCAGGAGGCGCTGTCGTCCCATCTCTGCAGAGACTCTTGCCGAGGGAAAGAACTGGGCATTGCCAAGTACTTCTTAGAATCTTTGCTTGATAGAATGTGCCTGGAAATTATTGCGCCTTTATGACTGTCTATAATCAAGTTGGAAAATTGTAAAGACAGAAAGGGCTACATAGAAAAATGCAGAACAGAAAGATGAGTTTTTAAAAATAATTAAAAAAGGAAGTTTTATACAATACATAAGGTATATTGTCTTCATGAGTCTTCACAATAGTGAGGTTGTTCTCAGCCCATTTTATAAACAAAGAACTGATGCTAAGGGTGTGGGGGGGTAAGACTTGTATGAGGAATACACAGCTATTAAGAAGAATGCTTGCATTCGAACCCAGGCCCAACTGAATCCAAAATACCAGCCCGTTCCTTTAGACCACACTGCTCAGATTAAGTAAAATAATAACAATACTAGTGTTTATTGAGCACTTACTACATGCTAGGCGCTGTTCTAAGCACTTCACTAGTATTAATTCATGTGATTGTCACAGCAACCCTATGACTTGATGTTATTCCCACTTTGCAGTAAGGATGCAAGTCCCACAGCTAATGAGCAGCTAGGAAATGTGCAATTATGGAAAGGTAAATCAAAGCTACAAACAATGCAATGTCTTATTTTGAAATCAAGAGCAAAGTGCTCCTTCTTTCTTTTATTCCTTCTGCTCTATTAAACTCCAGGGTATCTTCCATCATTCCAAAGATTTTTGAAAATCTTAATACAGAATGTATTTAAAATGAGTACTGATGCCCTGGAGAATTTGTCAGAAAAAGGAGTCATCAAAAAGATCTGGAAACAATAAGGGAGATGTTATTTTAGTAGCCAGATGGAGTTTCCCACTGAGCCCTTGAAAGGATAGAGGATACATAAAGGAAGAGGGAGAGACCAATTTGTAGCTCTAAGAATGTGAGAAGAAACTATAATAATCCACAACATTTACCTACTTTACTCTTGTTTCTGTCTTAAAGATAATATACTTCATATTTCTCCTTCAAGACACGATGCCCCTTATATTATAGTGAACTCCTAATATATATATATATATGTATATTATAAATATATTGCAGTTTCTCCTATTTCAAAGTTTTATAAACTATGTCTTAAGGCAGCAGATGATTTCTTCCTTTTCTAAGGAAGGAGTTAAGGAATTTTAAGGCAGTAACTAAATCTTTGCCTGTTAACAAAAATACAGTTGAGTCAAATTCACAATTTGGCTAGAATTGGGCCTTTAAAAACCAAGCTACGTGACACAATTATACTTTACATGGCTTCAGAGGGCCACTACACTTGACAGAAAATTTGTCAAAAGTCCAAATGGTCCCTAACAATAGGGAAGATAATGGCCATGAATATTGGTGAGAGTCTGCTCCTGCAGTATCTTCATTTTCCTGGCCTCATAGTAGATACTGGATTCATCCATTCTTTTGGTCAGCTCACAAAAGTTGCTCTGTCACTTAGTAGCTGTGTGACCCAGAGGCAAGTCGCTTAACCTCTCTGTGCCTCTGTGCCCTTATTTGTGATATGGAAGAAAAGAACCATAAGGTTTCTATAGGGAAAAATGAGTGGGTATATGTACAACGTTTAGAACAGGGTCTGGCTGGTACATAGGACATACTTAAAAAAATTTTAGGTGTTTTTAAAATTGTTATTATGGGACATTTTTCTGTTTTTAAGATTTTATTTATTTGAGAGTGAGAATGAGAGAGAGAGAGCATGAGAGGGGGTAGGGTCAGAGGGAGAAGCAGACTCCCTGCTGAGCTGGGAGCCCGATGCGGGACTCGATCCCGGGACTCTGGGATCATGATCTGAGCCTAAGGCAGACGCCCAGCCAACTGAGCCACCCAGGCACCTATTATGGGATATTTTTCTCATGGAGCTTATGTTTGGGATGGAAAGTATTGTAAAAGGAAAATCATGACGGTGTCTTTCTAGCCCAGGGTACTGCATACATTTTACAAATGTCTCCTTTCTCAACTTCATGTCCCCGACAGGGATTACCTCAATGATGAGGGCTTATGGAGCAAGTGCCAAGAGCCTGTCGACGTGGTGCCCTGGAATCTGACCCTCTTCTCCATCCTGCTGGTCGTAGGAGGGATCCAGATGCTTCTCTGTGTCATCCAGGTGGTCAACGGCCTCCTGGGAACCTTGTGTGGGGACTGTCAGTGTTGTGGCTGCTGTGGGGTAAGTTGAGGTCCTGGCGCTTTCTTCTCAACGTGCAGGAGGCCAGGGCAGGCCAGCGATGCTGATGGAGAGCGGGTGGGGAGGGTGGCAGCTGTAGAAACCCAGGCTGGAAAGGCCAGGCGGCCCTCTCTATCAGCTCAGGGGAGCGAAGACTTTGTGCGGCCAAGAACCCGGTTCTACTCTCTGTGCGTGTTAATATACACAGCCTGAAGGTGACCAGACTTTTCAGTCTCCCACACAGTTGACCACAGTCCTGGAGGAAGAGGACTCCGAATACATGTAGGCGTTTACAATAACATTTATTATTATTTATATGAAGATCCCCAAGAATTGGGCATTTTTCAAAAGCACATATTGACAACAAATACACGTCATGGTCCAGCCCAAAATATTCTCACTCTTCCCTAAGTAGATCTAGACCATGGGTTAAAGTTGCCAAGAACTGGGCGCCTGGGGGGCTCAATCAGTTAAGCATCGGCCTCTGGCTCAGGTCATGATCCCAGGGCCCTGGGATAGAGCCCCGCGTCCAGTCAGGCTCCCTGCTCAGCGGGGAGTCTGCTTCTCCCTCTCCCTCTGCCTTTCCCTCCAGCTCGTGTGCGCGCATGCGTTCTCTCTCTCTCGCTCTCTCTCTCTCTCTCTCTAATAAATAAATAAATAAATAAAGTTGTCAAGAAATACGTGAAACTCATGTCAGGGCATTGTCTTTTCCCTGGCAAAAACCTATATTTTGATGAGATTGCTGATACAGAAGAGAGAAATGGTTCTCAAGTAGGGGGGATAAGAGGAAATCACTGAGGGTTTAGTCTCCAAATGTGATTGTAAATTATCAACTATATAAAAAACAAAAATAAACCTGTGGGCAGTAAGACGGTACAATTATTTCAACTAGTGACCAAGCCAGATCGAGCAATTGTTCAAGCACACATGGAAATATTTAAAAACACAAATTGGTGTGTGAGGAAAAAATTAAACAGAACTCGAGAGCTCCATAAGAAAGAACTATGTAAATAAATATGAACTGTGGTCCATCTACTTAAGATAATATTATGCCCCAATTTTAAACGATTCAAATCATTTTCTCTAAATTTCTAACAATCATTATATGTATATAGGTCAAAAACTCTGTCTGTGTCAGAAATATACAGGGGTATTCAGTTGGAAAACTGTGTCCTGCCCTGTCTTCTATCCACCCAGTTCCCCAGTGTCCACCTGATTTCTTCTATATCCTCTCAGAGTTATTTTGTTATCATTTTTATTCCCCCTATCTTAAAAATATTTTTAAAACTATAATAATACTGAAAATGCTTATGAGATAGTGTTATTTTTTTTAAAGATTTTATTTATTTATTTGACAGAGAGAGACACAGCGAGAGAGGGAACCCAAGCAGGGGGAGTGGGAGAGGGAGAAGCAGGCTTCCTGCTGAGCAGGGAGCCCGATGCGGGGCTCGATCCCAGGACCCTGGGATCATGACCGGAGCCGAAGGCAGACGCTTAACGACTGAGCCACCCAGGCGCCCCCAAGAGATCGTGTTATTTTAAAAGAGCAAGATATAGGGCTGCCTGGCTGGCTCAGTTGGAAGAGCATGTGACTCTTCTGGGTTGTAGTTTCAAGCCCTACATTGGGGATAGAGATTACTTAAAAATAAAATCTTTCCAAAAAAGATAAAAATAAAAAGAGCAAGATACCAAAAATAGTATATAGAATAAACATGTATGTACATAAGAAAAGAAACACTATGAGTTAAAAAAAAGACCTAAAGGAAATCCTACTCAACTCAAATGATCAGTAAGAAGACTTTGACTTTTTTCCTTCCTTCTAGCTTATATTATTCAAAGAAAAAAAGTTTAACAATCATAGATTTTAAAATATACAAAATATAAATAAAAAGTTCCCCAAATCAAGTGTAAAATGAGTATATTACAAATAAATCTCACTATTGAATTTTTTGTTCTATAAATTTTCTTTTTTCCTCCAAAGATTGATTTATTTATTTTGGGGGGGACAGAGGGAGAGAGAATCTCAAGCAGACTCCATGCTGAGCACTGAGGCGTGACATGGAGCTTGATCTCACGACCCTGAGATCACGACCTGAGCTGAAACCAAGAGTCGGACATTTAACCGACCATGCCATTCAGGCGCCCCGGTGCTATAAATTTTTTTTTAAAGATTTTATTTATTTATTTGACAGAGAGAGACAGAGCGAGAGAGGGAACACAAGCAGGGGGAGTGGGAGAGGGAGAAGCAGACTCCCCACTGAGCAGGGAGCCCGATGCGGGGCTCGATCCCAGGACCCTGGAATCATGACTCGAGCTGAAGGCAGATGCTTAACGACTGAGCCACCCAGGCGCCCCGGTGCTATAAATTTTCAATTCTATTGTGTTGTATTTAAATGTTTTGGTCTTTAAACACAAACGAGAAGGAAAGAAAACTACCAGTTAGCAATCCATCAAAATTATTTTCACAGTAGCAGTTAAGAATATTGAGCATCTAAATCTTGTAATTCATCCAAAATGAATTCATGCTTGCTAAATCAGCTCATTTCAAATACTTTCATTATTTCTTTTTCTGTCTACACAGAAGAGAATCATATATTTAATTAGGAAGCAAATTTTCATTGCAAGATTTATGACAAATACAGCTGCCTTTTGAATAGAAGATAGTAGTTTATTCAATTTGAGGATTATCTGTAAGTTTTAAAACATACCCATAGGTGCCAGTACATAGAATCTTTTCAGTGAGTGTCATCTATACAGATACTGTAGTTTAGCAATTTTATTTTCTTATTTTTTTTAAGATTGTATTTACTTATTAGAGAGAGAAAGCACAAGCAGGGGGAGCAATAGAGGTAGAGGGAGAAGTAGGCTCCATGCTGAGCAAGGAGTCCAATGCTGGGCTCCATCCCAGGACCCTGGGATCATGACCTGAGCCAAAGGCAGTTGCTTAACTGACTGAGCCACCCAGGAGCCCGTGTAGTTTAGCAATTAATGAATAAATCACTTGATAGTCAGAAGACAGTAGAAGGACTCCACAGTTGTCCATGCATGCGAACCGGAGAATCTGAGGATGAATGTACACCTCCTGAATTCCCCTCCCTTCCTCCCTCCCTCCCCTCCTCCCTCCCTTCAGGCCCCCTCCCTCCCTCCCTTCTTCTCCAACTTTTTATTTAGAAAACTTCAAATCTACATAAAATTTAAAGGAACAGTACGAGGAACACCTACATATTTTCACCTAGGATACACAAACTGTTCACATCTGCGTCCTCTCTCTTTCTGAACCATTGGGAAGTAATGTGCAGATAATCATGAAACTTCACTACCAGATATTTCAGTGCCCATGAGAGCTGCATTTTTTAACAATCGGTCTGCTGAGGATTTCTTTCTTGTTGGCGGCTTGCCTCTCCTACAGCTGGTCAGCATCGCGCACCCCCCCCACTGAGGGACACTGTGGGGGGACTTGGGCTTGCAGCCTAGTTCCACAACCTCCTCGCTGAGTGACCCCAGCAAGCTTCCTCACTTCCCGAGTCTTAGTTACCCCGACCGCCTCTTGCAGACCCTTTCCAGAGAGTGTGCAGGGCCATCACATTCAAGCAGAAAGTATTTACTGAGAGATCCCTGAGCCTGGCACAGGCCTTCCATGAGGTAATAGATGGAAACATGCCTTAAATACAAACTATGGGACCTGGGTTGGGTGCCGGCTGTGCAATCTTGGCCAAGTCCGTTGCACGCAACCGTTTCTTTGTCTGCAGAACGTGGTTGTTAAATCTACTTCCTGAGGTTGCTGCATGTCTAACATGGGGTGATAAATATGCATGCATATCAACAGTTAGAAGGCTCAGCACATTGTACTGATTGTTATTTACTGATAGAAACATTGGTGAGGCAGAGGAGCATCAAGGAGAGGAGCGAGGAGCACAGTCTCCGAGGTCAACCTCCCTGGGTTCAAATTCTCGCTCCTCTACTTATTAGTTGTGACTTTGTATACATCACTTGAGTTCTGTGCCTCTTATCAAAAAATGTTTTAATAATATATGATGCGGGGCACTTGGGTGGCTCAGTCGGTTAGGTGTCTGCCTTCAGCTCAGGTCATGATTCCGGGGTCCTAGGATCAAGTCTGCATCAGTGGGGAGTCTCCTTCTCCCTCTGCCGCCTCCCCCCCCACTCATGCTCTCTCTCAAATAAATAAAAATCTTAAAAATAATAATAATAAATGATGCAAAATAAAATGAAGCCTGTAACCTAAACACAGGTAAGTGATGGATGAAAGATCTGAAACAGTCAGAAAAGTATTGAAAATATTCAATAGGTAACCAATATGGGGCAGGAGTAATCACGAAGAAGAGGGGTGATAGGGAGGGGGAAGGGAAGGAGAGAAGCAAAAAAAAAAAAAAAAAGAATGATGTCATAATTAACTTTTCTACCTTCTAGGGAGACGGACCAGTTTAAATCTCCTTGATGAGCTGCTCTAACTTGACGGCATGTGACTTTACATTAGACTTATTCTTATTAGAATTATGTTATATTAGACTTATTCTTCCTGGGGTTGGCAATTCCTATCTGCGTCCTAACTGACAAAGCTTAGGGAGAGCAGAGTTATTCCTTCCACTTTCCAAGCAACTTAGCTCAACTCAGATTTTTATGCTTTTTTCAAATAAAAAATAGTTTGGCCACTTAAGTTAGGTTTATATATCTTTCAGACTCGCTTCCTTCTAGAACAGGTTCAAAGCAGATTTATCATAATTTGTTTTGAGGGAAAAATGTGTAAGGTTACATATACTGCCATACTGCTTCTTTGTATATAGAGATGTTTATATCTTTGGAAGTTTTACATAATTCAACGGAGGAAAGCACATTAAAAATGAGAAACTAAGACCAGTTTTTGTTTTCAAGATTTAGGAGAAAAAACAGAATGACTGATGTATCATAAATAATTTTATTTGGTGTCTTTTGGCCTATTGCCTTTGAATTACTTGTGACTAGTCTTTTGAGCCTGCTTATATTTGCAAAGGTGATATAATAAAGATTGTGTGTGTTTGGGAGGAAGGAGAAAAGACTGAATGACTACCACACTTTTTTTCATCTTCTCTACAAATGGCTTCTTTTGATGAAAAAAAAAACAATGTTTTAAAAAAGTTGACTTCAGTGATAATTTTTGTCAGCATGTGACCAGGATTAAGGTAATAGGTATTATTAATTCTATGTGTTATATTAAGACATTGAGTTTGGTTTTATGAGTCAAGCACTAATAAGGAGTCAAATCCATTCTGTTGATCTGAGTTCAAACGCTAGCTCTACCACACACGAGCCTGGGGATCCTGGGAGAGTTACTTTCTAAGTCTCCATTTCCCTACTGCTGAAAGGCAACCCATCAGCCAAGAAATTTTGAAGTTCGCCAAGGTGAAACAAGGAGGCCCGTGGGATTGTCAACATGACTAACATACAATTAAAAGGGTCTCAGAAGAGGTACACGCCAGAGAGCCTCACTTCTGGACCCGCCAAGCTGAGACGCTGCACTATGTGGGTCAGGCACACTGAAACTACGTTTCTCACAGTCGTCAAGAAAGCGATTAACAGTCACCTCCTGAGTGCTGGCCATGGGGCCTGGGCACTGAAGACATGAAGGTTACAGGTTGTGATTCTGCCCTCACTACAGGGAGAAGTCTGGGATCAGGTCAAGACCCCATCTGGCACGTAATGGGCAGAAGGAAGAAAGGAGAGCAGATAGGCACTTAAGATCACTCACACACACACACATATACACACACAGTTTCAAGTCAATGTAGAATGTTGGTTCTCAACCATGATCAACAGAATCACCTAAAAAATGTCCTCTTATGATTCCTGCGCCCCAGCCTCGACTTACTGCCTCTGAAAATCTAGGTATAAGGCATAAAAGCCTGTCTTTTGTTATTTAGTTTTTAAAAGCCTACCAGGTGATGCTAAAAACCAGCCAGTTTGAGCAACCATTGACTTAGACTACAGACTGACAGGCACCAAGGATAAAAATAAGTCAGACCCCATTACAGCCCATTGAGAATTCACACTTTACTGATTAATATTAATTAATATGATGCCTTATACATTAAATCCTAAAGGGTGACACAGGTAATGATGTTCCAGAGGTTCAGAGACATCAGGCCATTAGGACTGATTCACCTATGTTCTCTGACAAGGAAATAAGAATGTAGTTAAAAGGGCATCGATTCCTTATTCAGGGGTTTTCATTGATTCAGAACTTGAAAATGAAGATATTATAGTCATCATCAAATCTGATCTCGTTATTTTATAGATGAAGAATTAAAACAATTCTTTGACAAGCTTTCACACAAAAGGCCATTTTTCAAATCCAATTAACATAAAATTAAAGAAAAATGCTTACCATGGATTAAAGGGATTAAAAGGAAGAGACAGAAAACAAAGATGTATGGGCCCCTACCTTGGTTGATGCTCCTACACACACACACACACACACACACACACACACACACACACACACACACATTTGGTCATTAGACTGTCTAGAAACTTCTCTTCTGGGAGTTGCCAACTTTGTGTTGATTTCACAAATACATGACTTATGTCTTCACACTTTAGATGACAAATTCTTTGAGGCAAGGACAGTATCTGATTCAAGTCTGCACCTCCAGTGCTTAATAGGGGCCCTAGGACATAGTAGGCAATCAATAAATTTGTTGTGTCAGTAGAGGGATATATAAATATATATCCATATCACAAGGATTTGCCCTTTGTAGTTGCGGGAGCTAGCTAGCTAGTTGTCTTTGTGGCTGAGGCTGGAGCTTGAGGTCCACAGGGCAGGCCAGCAGAAAGAGGAGAGGGATATAGAGCGTGAGAGAGCAAGAACAAGCTGGAACCCACCTGAGCTGCAGCCCCAGAAGCTGGGGCCCTTTGTCATGGAGCTAAACACACCCTACCCACCCGAAGGGTCAGTGAAGCTGGAGGACATACTGGGGAAGGCTGTAGGGCCGTTGTAGGGCCCGGGTGCTGCTTTGTGTCAATGAGATGAGTTTGTATGAGCTACAAAATGCTGCTGCCTCCCTTTGGCCCTCCAAAGTTTGCAAGAGTTGTTCTTGTGGGTGCCCCAATAGGAAACACAAAAAGCGACTTAGGCAAATGTAGTTTGGCTTAGCCAAGTTGACACATTACAAAGCCACCATCTCCAGCTTGGAGAAAGGAATGGGGTTTTTTGTTTGTTTGTTTTTGTGTGTGTGCACATGTGCTGTTTTAGTGTAGATCAAGGTTTCTCAACTTCTACACAATTGACATTTGGTACCAGATAATTCTTTATCAAAGTGGGGAGAGCGGTCCTGGGCCCTGAAGGATGTTTAGCAGCTTCCCTGACCTCTACTTAGGAGATGCTACTAGCAACCTTCCCTCCTCAGTTTTGACAACCAAAAATGTCTCCAGATATTGCCAGATATCCCCCTGGGGGACAAAGTCACCCATAGTTGATAATCACTGGTCTGGATCATGTGCTGCTTGAGAAGAACCATCAGTTCTTTTTCCTGGAAGCCAACATGGTGTTTTGCACGTAGAATGTGCTTAGTAATTACTGGTTGTATGTAAACATATGTTTACGTACATACATAAACATACATGAACAAATATTTACCTATCACCAAAGTGACATATACACATTTAAAAGAAGGTGCTCCTTAGATGTTCGAGTTCTGGCTTCAGAGCACTGCTCTGCTTGGTCTAAATACTACTCTCCCAGATGATCTTCACCACTGTGGTTTTAATGACTATGTTCATGACTCTTGTGTCTTTATCTCCAGCCCAGACCACTGCCCTGTCTGCTAAATATCTCTTTTGGGTTTTGGGTTTTTTTTTTTTTAAGATTTTATTTATTTATTTGAGAGAGATCAAGAGCACACAAGCAGGGGGAGAAGCAGAGGGGGAGGAACACAGACAAGCAGACTTTGCATTGAGCCCAGAGCCCCACGTGGGACCTGATCCCAAGACCTCGAGATCATGACTTCAGCCAAAACCAAGAGTCAGAGACTTCACAGACTAAGCCACCCAGGCGCCCCTAAATATCTGTTTCTGAATGTTTCACGGGCATCTCAAAGCAACAGTTCCGGCCTGAACTCTTCCAGTCCTCCATGCATGGCTCTCCTGGAACCCTGGCCTCAAGAGTGCTGTCATCGGCATTTAAGCAGACACAGAACTAGGAGAATGACCCTAGAGGACTGTCCTGACTACAGAACCTACCACGCCCCTACCCTTTCAGTGGCTTTCATCACCCAGCCCCTACGGGCCCCTGCAGACCCAGCATCGCTCTGCCCAGAACCTAGGGATCCTTGTCTTTGGCCCCCCACACTCTTTCAGACCCTGTTCTTGCATATGCTGTTCCGTGTGTGTAGGAATGATCATTCCCTCCTGCTCATCAGGGTAAACACTTCTTATCCTCCCAGATTTCATTCAGGGCTCCTCTTGTCCAGCTTCTTCCTTCCCGATAGTCCCCGCAGTTAATTGACAGCCCCTCCCCAATTCTCCCATGGTATCCTGTATATGTCAGAATGGTTGCCCTTCCCTGTTATATCCATTAACACTTCCTTCTTTCCCTCTGGACTGAGAACGCCTTGAGCTCAGAAACTCCATCTTACCAAAGTTCAGACCTCTCCTCAACCCTGGGCCTGGAACATAGTAACTGTGCTCTGGGTGGGTATTATCATTGTCATGGAGGTATGACTGAATTATTCTGCTCAGAACAAAGAAAAAGCCACTCTCAAGCTGAGAATCAAGCTTTTGTCATAAAAAAATAACCCCAGGGCGCCTAGGTGGCTCAGTCGGTTAAGCGTCTGCCTTCGGCTCAGGTCATGATCCCAGAGTCCTGGGATCAAGTCCCACATCGGGCTCCCTGTTCAGTGGGGAGCCTGCTTCTCCCTCTGCCGCTCCCCCTGCTTGTGGTCTCTCTCTCTGACAAATAAATAAATAAAATCTTTAAAAAAATAAATAACCCCAGAACTTATTGGTAATACCCAGAAACCTTGGTAAGTAATATACATGCATGATTTCACTTGGTCCTCAAAACAACTGACCCAAGTGCTCACGACTGCCCTTGCCTTTCATGCTGCTCTGTCTTCACCAGACTTCAGGGAGGCTTCTCTCCTCCCCCAGGCCCCTGACCTCTGCTTGCCCCCAAGCCTGAGCAAGCACGGAAGTGTCCCTTTATTAGCTTATCCGGGGAATCGGCTGACCACAGGGAGACACATTTCCTGTCAGACCCTGGCGAGCATGCCATGTGCTTGCCCAACGTCCCATCGCTGCCAAGCTCTGCTTAGCCCAGCCTGGAAAAGAAAAGCCTTTTCTGTTTGTTTCTGAGACGCCTGCAGATTCCTGAGATTGGAGATTCTCGTGTTGCAATAGTCCTTTTGAATAAAGTTTTTCCTTATCTAAGTCTGTTTTTTTTAACCTGACACAACTTTATGATATAGAAACTATGATTAGCTCCTTGCGTGTAAGAAAGAAGAAAATGAGGCTTAGAAAAAATAAACTTTCCCAGAGCCGCATAAACAGCAAATGAAAAATATGGGATCTAAACCCAGATCATCTGCCTGTTTGAGGGTAAGAGTCCCACTCTCACCCACGGTGCTTCAAACCTCACTAATTCTAACAGCATCCAGGAAGGGAGGCTTTGGGATGCTAATCTCAAGTTCCTATGTAGAACTGAAAGCATGAGAATTTTGTTATTTTTTTAAATGTCACAATTTATCCTGTTCATTCATTCATGTTAACCTGAATTAGTGCAAATGATCAATTAAAATATCATAATCAAAATCAGCATTTTTATATAATCTTTCAAAGCACCTATATGAAGACAAC